TTGAGTTCTATGTTTGTTGCGTGTGGGATTTTGTGGATGAGTGCTGTCAATGTGGCCACAATTGCGGTATCGTTGTGTTCCTTGATACTGGGGATAATACGGTGAATGTGACTATAACTGTTTAATCCTTGCTGTCACGAGATCGTAAAATCGTGACAATAATATGAATCGTGCTGCACATAATTGTGGTGTATTGCGGCGAAAACATCTTAAAATCTTGACTATAATTTCGAAATTGCAGCTGCGGTTTAAAACCTTGTACGCACTCTGGAAAAATTTAATGTATTCTATGTTGAGCCTACACTTAATATATTGTGCTCTCAGGGTATTCGATTCTTCATATTAGATGTTTAATACGCTAAAGAAACTTTGTGATATTGTAGTTTGGCAAGTTCCAGGATTTACCTATGTCTTAGTATTATTATGGAATATAGTTTTTGTCCAAAAAAGGAACCAAGAGAATGGAAATATTTGATTTTCAGATCTTGGTAAATGTTGAATTGTACTATTGTGGTCATGGATGGTTTTGCTTCCGGCACAAGTTTTGTATTGACAAGCTAACACGTTCTTTAAAAGAAGGATTGGAGGGTAAATAGATGGTGGCGCCCTGTGTCAACGTGTCTCTGTATTTGAGAGAGGTATACGGATTTATATAAATATAAATATGCAATAGATTGAAGATACCTGACTTGATACTTTGTGGATAAGCGGTTTGAGAGCAACATCTTTATGCATTTTCCCACTAAATGAGTGTGGAGATTTAGATTAGTCATTTAATAAGCATATATACCTACAATGTTAGACTTCAGGTTGGGAAGTTCATTGTCCCATTAATTTATATTTAAAGCTTGTAGTAGTAAGTTGCGTTTTCTTGCTAATGGTGAAATAAATGTGCTTGTACTTATATTTGCAATGTTGTATCAGCGCAAGGAGCTTTGCAAGCTTCATGACAAACTGGAGCAGAAAAAGAAAACTCTTTTGGAGACAATTGCAAACCGAAAGAAGTTCTTGTCTAGCCTCCCTTCACATCTCAAGTCTCTCAAGAAAGCATCCTTGCCAGTGCAAAATCAACTAGGAGTTCAGCATACTAAGAAACTAAAGCGGCATCACTCAGCAGAGTTGCTTCCACCACCTCTTTATGTGATTTACTCACAGCTGTTGGCTCAAAAGGAGGCGTTTGGAGAATCTATTGATGTGGAGATTGTAGGAAGTGTCAAAGATGCTCAATCTTTTGCCCACATTCAAGCTCACAAGGACACTGGTAATTGAGAGTTGATGTTTCAATTCTAGCATTTTATCGATTGGAATCTATGTTATCCATTATCCAGTACTATTAGCAGCTTCGGTGTATCTGCTGGTGCAGGACTATAAATTTCAATGTTTCAGTATCTTGTAGGTGATTCAATTCCAGTCCCCCGAATATCACTTATGTATTACCTGGAATTTAGCTGCTGTTTACAATAGGTTATTAAATAGTTTCAACACTAATCACTGGATAATGAGTAAACGAAACGAAGTTTATTGCTAGATTTAAAGTGCCATTGTCATTACTAATGGTCTTCACTCATGTTGCTTTTAATATTTTCCATATTTCTCATTTTGTTTGCTGTGGTTTCATCTCTCAGGCATTTCCACTACTGTAGCGAGTCCGAAATTGGAAAATGATGAACCTGATGAAGATGGTCAGAGACCGAGTAAAAGGCCAAGGAGGTTTCAAGGCAAGGAGAGCCTTGACCAAGTAGGAATATTTCAAGTTCACCCACTTACAGTCAATCTCCATATTTATGATGACGAAGTCTCTGATTTAGAGTCTGCAAACCTCGTTACTCTAAATTTTGAGTACATGATGCAGTTGAATATTATATGTGTCGGGATCAAAGCATCTATTGATGGTCCTGAGAATGACATCTTAAGCAATTTGTTCCCTGATGACACAGGTCTCGAGCTTCCTCACCAGGTTTGGGCATCTTGTTTACCTGTCTATCTGCAACTTTCGTTTTTTCTATCCCCGTTGCATTTATATGTCATTTGTTTTTGTTTGGATGGTGATGCAGTCGGCTAAGCTCTATGTTGGGGATGCTGTAATGTTGTTTAATTGCGATAGAACTTCACGTCCTTACAAATGGGCTCAGCACCTGGCTGGTATTGATTTCTTGCCCGAGGTGGCTCCATTGCTGCTTGCTAGACGTGAAACTCCAGACGGTGGTGAAGGAGCCAAAGGTGAAGATTTCGTACCGAGCATTTCACAATATCGCCAGCATAACCGATTGCAGACAGTTCTGCAGAAAATTCGTTCAAGGATAAAAGCACGTTTGGTTCTTCAATAACAAGTCATTTTCTTATATTTTTACAGTTTTAGAATAGGAAGTATCCTCCTGGGTGTTCATTGAACTGAAAACAATGCAGTCTGAAAAGCTTGCTTTTGGTCTATGTTTTGGTTATATTATTGTAACTCACATCTTAGTTATTTGGTTTACCTGCTGTAAATACTTGTAACCTATATTTTTTAGGATTTTGTTTTTTTATCCCTTTGTTGAAATTACATTTTATTTTGGAGGTCCAAAGTATCATGCTTGTAACTGTGGCTTTTGATGGTTACTACTTCTGAATAAAAAATATGAATTTTTTTTTTTTCATAAGTTAAAATCAAAGATTACTTTTATTATAAACATTAATGTCAATATCAAATCCAAGAACAAGCGCTCAGGAGATTTTAGCTACTTCTACATGCACTGTCACCTTGGTAGAAAAAGACATTAACTAATTAAAAAGTACAACTAGTTTTCTTATTCAAAGTATAATCTTTAATATTTAATTTAAAATGATTTGAAAACTTCCTAAATGTATTTTCATACTATTTTCAAGGCATTTGTTAACAATTAAACCCCTACTAGTTACTTGTAATGGAATAAAGTTGATGATGACGATGCTCTTTTCAGTTTATGCACATTCCAGCCAAAGAAAGAAACAATGAGGAAGCAGAGTGGACAACGAAGGTTAACGACCAATTCTCTTGTCATGCAAAGTCAAATCTCCATAACAAAATGCTGAAGTTTTGGAATCCATATATTTATATACATTTTCTGGTAAAGTCTACAATCGTGACCACACTCATACGCAATAATGTTTTCTTTATTAAGCAGATAATATCCAAAAGCATAAGACCTGGACTATCTGCATCATACGCATATAAATTTTAAATGTTATTTTCTACTCATATGGCATTACTTAATTTGCTCCTCCATATATAGTTTGCAGACAGCTAGCCAAAGCAATATTTGTTAAACTTGTTCCAGCAAGTTCGAACAATTCTATGTCTCCATTTCAGTTATTGTTGGTAGTAGCAGTACTGCTTCTGTGGGTGTGGTCAGAGGCTACAGTTAATGCAAATGATGATGAGATAAAAAGGAGCAGCATAGAGAAGTGCTCAATGTTGAAGTCGAAGATTGTTGTGAACATTGGAGCAGCCGTAGAGTTGAGTTCTCGAGTGGGAAAGGAAGAGAAGATAGCAATGGAAGTTGCAATTGAAGATGTGAATCGACAGAGCTGCTATGAGCTTGCCTTGAACTACAGTTATAACGTTCATCGCAACCCATCATCTCCCACCATCTTCGCTGCCGGTAATTTTCAGTTACTTCACATTCTTCTCAAACTCAACCTCAACCTCTACCTCTGTAACTAAATCATCTACTTCAACCTGAAAACAAATACTCCTACTTAATTAATTAACAATTATCCTAAATTAATTTTAATGTTATATATAATAGGTTTTTAGTACATGACTTTGAATTTCTCTCTGTTCAACGCCAATGATCTGTAAAAGTGGGATTGAAGTTCAATGTGTCTTGAAAAGTGGTTTGGCATAAAACAAACACACCCTATGTTAATAACGCTTACTAAAAGTATATAATTTTAGTGATACAAAATAATACTCAGTTCAATTTTGAAAGCAACTAGAGTTTAAATATTAGAAAAATAATTTTTTGTGTACTAAGTATAATTAAAATGATTATCATAAAGTAAGCATAAAATCACTGTACATGGAGTAGAGACCATTTTTATATGAAAATTAAACCATTCATACTTTTGAAAAATCTTAACCATTCATTATCTAATACACTTCTTTTTTCAAGGTTTCTTATACTAAATTATACCTTACAAATATTTTATCAGATTGATGTTAATTGAACATATTATTAATTAACAAGGCGGTATTAAAAAAAGCTGTATCATCTCAAACAGTTCGATATGTTTAAGTTTATTATTTTTTAATTTCATGATTTTAAAAAGTAACTCATTTTCCTTTTAAGTTAAAAGTTATAATAGAAGAATTATTAAAACACCTTGATAAATCACAAGAGAAGTTCACATGTCCCAGATACTACTAAAAAACATTAAATAACAACCAATTCAAAAAATAAAAAATAGTTAAAACTTTAAATACCAATTTATAAATTAAAAATTATTTGTATATGACATAATAAATAAATAATTATAATTAATTTATGAATTATAATATAAATTAATCTCTAATATTAATTATCAAATTTTAGTTACTGAAGAACTAGTATTTAAATTATTATTTAATTTATTATTAAAAATTAATTTTCATAGCTAATATTACAAACAAATTTAAATTTTAATTCAAAAATTAATTATAATACAAAAATATTTTAAATATTAATAATTTTTAATTTATAAATTTCTGTCTAAATTATTTACTAAAATGACTAATTATTCTTTATCTTTAAATTTAGTTGTTATTTAATATTTTTTTTATAGTATTTTCATGTTTTTCTAAAAAAAAANAATTTGATAATTAATATTAGAGATTAATTTATATTATAATTCATAAATTAATTATAATTTTTTATTTATTATGTCATATACAAATAATTTTTAATTTATAAATTGGTATTTAAAGTTTTAACTATTTTTTATTTTTTGAATTGGTTGTTATTTAATGTTTTTTAGTAGTATCTGGGACATGTGAACTTCTCTTGTGATTTATCAAGGTGTTTTAATAATTCTTCTATTATAACTTTTAACTTAAAAGGAAAATGAGTTACTTTTTAAAATCATGAAATTAAAAAATAATAAACTTAAACATATCGAACTGTTTGAGATGATACAGCTTTTTTTAATACCGCCTTGTTAATTAATAATATGTTCAATTAACATCAATCTGATAAAATATTTGTAAGGTATAATTTAGTATAAGAAACCTTGAAAAAAGAAGTGTATTAGATAATGAATGGTTTAGATTTTTCAAAAGTATGACTGGTTTAATTTTCATATAAAAATGGTCTCTACTCCATGTACAGTGATTTTATGCTTACTTTATGATAATCATTTTAATTATACTTAGTACACAAAAAATTATTTTTCTAATATTTAAACTCTAGTTGCTTTCAAAATTGAACTGAGTATTATTTTGTATCACTAAAATTATATACTTTTAGTAAGCGTTATTAACATAGGGTGTGTTTGTTTTATGCCAAACCACTTTTCAAGACACATTGAACTTCAATCCCACTTTTACAGATCATTGGCGTTGAACAGAGAGAAATTCAAAGTCATGTACTAAAAACCTATTATATATAACATTAAAATTAATTTAGGATAATTGTTAATTAATTAAGTAGGAGTATTTGTTTTCAGGTTGAAGTAGATGATTTAGTTACAGAGGTAGAGGTTGAGGTTGAGTTTGAGAAGAATGTGAAGTAACTGAAAATTACCGGCAGCGAAGATGGTGGGAGATGATGGGTTGCGATGAACGTTATAACTGTAGTTCAAGGCAAGCTCATAGCAGCTCTGTCGATTCACATCTTCAATTGCAACTTCCATTGCTATCTTCTCTTCCTTTCCCACTCGAGAACTCAACTCTACGGCTGCTCCAATGTTCACAACAATCTTCGACTTCAACATTGAGCACTTCTCTATGCTGCTCCTTTTTATCTCATCATCATTTGCATTAACTGTAGCCTCTGACCACACCCACAGAAGCAGTACTGCTACTACCAACAATAACTGAAATGGAGACATAGAATTGTTCGAACTTGCTGGAACAAGTTTAACAAATATTGCTTTGGCTAGCTGTCTGCAAACTATATATGGAGGAGCAAATTAAGTAATGCCATATGAGTAGAAAATAACATTTAAAATTTATATGCGTATGATGCAGATAGTCCAGGTCTTATGCTTTTGGATATTATCTGCTTAATAAAGAAAACATTATTGCGTATGAGTGTGGTCACGATTGTAGACTTTACCAGAAAATGTATATAAATATATGGATTCCAAAACTTCAGCATTTTGTTATGGAGATTTGACTTTGCATGACAAGAGAATTGGTAGTTAACCTTAGTTGTCCACTCGCTTCCTCATTGTTTCTTTCTTTGGCTGGAATGTGCATAAACTGAAAAGAGCATCGTCATCATCAACTTTATTCCATTACAAGTAACTAGTAGGGGTTTAATTGTTAACAAATGCCTTGAAAATAGTATGAAAATACATTTAGGAAGTTTTCAAATCATTTTAAATTAAATATTAAAGATTAGGTTTAATCCTTTTCGACATCCCTATTTATGTACGAATGTCTCAATTGGTTCCTCGTTTTTTAAAGTGTATCAAAATGGTCCTTAATTTTGAAAATTGATATCAATCGAGTCCTTTCCGTTAGTCCTTTCCGTTAAGTTGAGTGGATGCTGAGATGACGAACGAACGCTCCTCGTTCGCTGGTGGACGAGCGTTCGTTCGCTGGTGGACGAGCGTTCGTTCGTCATCTCAGCATCCACTCATAATTTTTTTAACGCCGTCCAGCCAACTTAACGGAAAGGACTCGATTGATATCAATTTTCAAAATTAAGGACCATTTTGATACACTTTAAAAAACGAGGAACCAATTGAGACATTCGTACATAAATAGGGATGTCGAAAAGGATTAAACCTAATCTTTAATATTTAATTTAAAATGATTTGAAAACTTCCTAAATGTATTTTCATACTATTTTCAAGGCATTTGTTAACAATTAAACCCCTACTAGTTACTTGTAATGGAATAAAGTTGATGATGACGATGCTCTTTTCAGTTTATGCACATTCCAGCCAAAGAAAGAAACAATGAGGAAGCGAGTGGACAACTAAGGTTAACTACCAATTCTCTTGTCATGCAAAGTCAAATCTCCATAACAAAATGCTGAAGTTTTGGAATCCATATATTTATATACATTTTCTGGTAAAGTCTACAATCGTGACCACACTCATACGCAATAATGTTTTCTTTATTAAGCAGATAATATCCAAAAGCATAAGACCTGGACTATCTGCATCATACGCATATAAATTTTAAATGTTATTTTCTACTCATATGGCATTACTTAATTTGCTCCTCCATATATAGTTTGCAGACAGCTAGCCAAAGCAATATTTGTTAAACTTGTTCCAGCAAGTTCGAACAATTCTATGTCTCCATTTCAGTTATTGTTGGTAGTAGCAGTACTGCTTCTGTGGGTGTGGTCAGAGGCTACAGTTAATGCAAATGATGATGAGATAAAAAGGAGCAGCATAGAGAAGTGCTCAATGTTGAAGTCGAAGATTGTTGTGAACATTGGAGCAGCCGTAGAGTTGAGTTCTCGAGTGGGAAAGGAAGAGAAGATAGCAATGGAAGTTGCAATTGAAGATGTGAATCGACAGAGCTGCTATGAGCTTGCCTTGAACTACAGTTATAACGTTCATCGCAACCCATCATCTCCCACCATCTTCGCTGCCGGTAATTTTCAGTTACTTCACATTCTTCTCAAACTCAACCTCAACCTCTACCTCTGTAACTAAATCATCTACTTCAACCTGAAAACAAATACTCCTACTTAATTAATTAACAATTATCCTAAATTAATTTTAATGTTATATATAATAGGTTTTTAGTACATGACTTTGAATTTCTCTCTGTTCAACGCCAATGATCTGTAAAAGTGGGATTGAAGTTCAATGTGTCTTGAAAAGTGGTTTGGCATAAAACAAACACACCCTATGTTAATAACGCTTACTAAAAGTATATAATTTTAGTGATACAAAATAATACTCAGTTCAATTTTGAAAGCAACTAGAGTTTAAATATTAGAAAAATAATTTTTTGTGTACTAAGTATAATTAAAATGATTATCATAAAGTAAGCATAAAATCACTGTACATGGAGTAGAGACCATTTTTATATGAAAATTAAACCAGTCATACTTTTGAAAAATCTAAACCATTCATTATCTAATACACTTCTTTTTTCAAGGTTTCTTATACTAAATTATACCTTACAAATATTTTATCAGATTGATGTTAATTGAACATATTATTAATTAACAAGGCGGTATTAAAAAAAGCTGTATCATCTCAAACAGTTCGATATGTTTAAGTTTATTATTTTTTAATTTCATGATTTTAAAAAGTAACTCATTTTCCTTTTAAGTTAAAAGTTATAATAGAAGAATTATTAAAACACCTTGATAAATCACAAGAGAAGTTCACATGTCCCAGATACTACTAAAAAACATTAAATAACAACCAATTCAAAAAATAAAAAATAGTTAAAACTTTAAATACCAATTTATAAATTAAAAATTATTTGTATATGACATAATAAATAAAAAATTATAATTAATTTATGAATTATAATATAAATTAATCTCTAATATTAATTATCAAATTTTAGTTACTGAAGAACTAGTATTTAAATTATTATTTAATTTATTATTAAAAATTAATTTTCATAGCTAATATTACAAACAAATTTAAATTTTAATTCAAAAATTAATTATAATACAAAAATATTTTAAATATTAATAATTTTTAATTTATAAATTTCTGTCTAAATTATTTACTAAAATGACTAATTATTCTTTATCTTTAAATTTAGTTGTTATTTAATATTTTTTTATAGTATTTTCATGTTTTTCTAAAAAAAAAGAGAGAAATTAAGTAGGATATATATATTTCTCTTTTAAAAGAAAAGAAGAAATATATATTATAATCCTATTTTTTAACTTTTTAAGAAGTTCCTGGACATTTCTTTTTTTTATTTTACGATTGATATTTTAAAACATACTTTTTACATTTTTCTCATATTTTAAAATGAGAATGGATGATCCAAAATATATATAGAAACAAAAAGAAATATTTTTTCACCGAGAAAGCCTATAAGCACACTGTTCAGTATGTGTTCCATTTTTTTCATGCAACTACACAGATCTTGCAAACAACAAACAAGTGCAAGTTGTTGTAGGAACAAAACTCGATGCAGCAACATTATTCCTCTCCATCGACGAAAACTCAAAGGATGTTCCCATCATATCTCTAACCTCAACAGCTACTCCAGAAATAGCTTCAATCCCATTGCCACACTTCATCCAAATGGGCCATGAAGTCACCCTTCACATGCATTGCACTGCATCCATCATACACCAATTCCATTGGCGAAAGGTTACAGCAATTTACGAACACAACAATCTCTTTGCTTCTCATTCAGAGATACTGACAAGGCTCTCTTACTCTCTGCGCCTGGTCAATGCTGAAATCGATCACCATGTAGCTTTTGCTTCAATGACCCTTCTCTCAAACCCAACCGAGATCATAGAACACGAGCTTACAAGGCTCAAGAGCAAGAGCAATAGGGTGTTCTTGCTTATTCAATCCTCCTTGGAGTTTGCCACTTTGCTTTTTCAGAAGGCAAAGCAAATGGGAATGATGGAAAAAGGGTCAGTGTGGATCATTGCAGATGATGTAGCCAATCACCTTGATTCCCTTGATTCTTCTGTCACTTTCAACATGCAAGGTGTCATGGGGTGCAAAACCAACTTCCTGGAAGTGAGTGAAAGGTTCAAACGTTTCAAGTTCATGTTTAGGAGAAAGTTTGCACTGGAATACCCTGAGGAAGAAAGATTGCATCCGAGTGTCTTTGCTCTCAGGGCTTATGATGCTGTTTGGACCATTGCTAAAGCCTTGGAGAGCTCACAGGGAAACTTTTCCTTATCAGAAAATATTTTGCATAGTGATCACGAGGGCCTTAGTGGGAAGATAAGGTTCAAAGGAAGAATGTTATTGGAATCACCAACCTTTAAGATTGTCAATGTTGTTGGAAAAGGTTATAAAGAGTTAGCATATTGGTCAATGGAGTCTGGTTTGAGTGAGAGCCTTGTTGAGCATGAGGTGGTGAACACAACAACAACTAGTGCTGGTTCTGCTAGATTGCTTTTAAGTTCTGTGGATTGGCCTGGTGGGTTGAAAACAGTTCCAAAAGGTTGGGTGTATAATAGTAGTGAGAGAAAGCCTTTGAAAATTGGGGTTCCCGCTGTCGATCCATGTCCTCAGTTTGTGAATGTGAGCCATGATAAGAGACTGAATGAAACCCAATTCACTGGTTTCTCAATCAATGTCTTTGAATCAGTTGTGCAACGCCTGCCTTATCACCTGCCTTTTGTTTTTGTGCCATTTTATGGCTCTTACGATCAGATAGTTGAACAAGTGAACAATAAGGTAAAAATCATTATCCATGCTGATTAAGATCATCATGATCAGAAAAACTTCTCAATAATTGATATATAATGTTGGTATGATGTGTGTTTCTAATACAGTACCTTGATGCTGCTGTGGGGGATATACAAGTGGTGGAACATAGATATGCATTTGCTGAATTCAGTCATCCATATGTTGAATCTGGCATAGCCATGGTGGTGAAAGTAAAGCCAGATAGATCCAAAGAAACCTGGATGTTCATGGACGCTTTCACAAAAGAAATGTGGATGCTGATGGCAGCAATGCATCTGTTCATAGCATTTGTAATCTGGTTCATTGAAGGTGAAAACAATTCGGAGCTGAAGAGTCTTGGGGCCATTCTCTGGTTTTCTGTCACAACATTGTTCTTCATACACAGTAAGTCTCAGTAATGACACTCTAAACTCCTTTATATATCTCTTACAATTCATCAAATCGCCATTCATTACTTACATTTTTCATTCATCAAAATCCTTAATTTGTGTTAGCATTTAGAATATTGAACTTAATTAGAATAAAGGGAAAGTGTAAGAACTCCTTCATATCCTTTTCTAATAGCTATATATATTCACCATTTTTTGTCTCTCTCTATTATGAATGCTTGTGATATGTAGGAGAACCAGTAAATAGCAACTTGGCCAGAGTAGTGCTAGCACCTTGGTTATTTGCTATTCTAATTGTGACACAAAGTTTTACTGCGAGCCTTTCATCCATGATGACAGTGTCCCATCTTGAACCAGCTGTGCCTGATATACAAACACTGCTGAAGACAAATGCAATCATAGGGTGCAATAAGAACACTTTTTTGGTCCATTACTTAGTTGATGAACTCAAATTCCAGCCACAGAATATCAGGGTCTTTGACTCCATCCATGATTTCCCAAGAGCATTTGAGAACAAAGAAATTGTGGCTTCTTTCACCATTGCCCCTCATGCTGATGTCTTCCTAGCCACCTATTGCAAAGGCTACATCAAAGCAGGACCTACCTTGAAGCTTGGTGGATTAGGCTTTGTGAGTTTCTTTTCTCATCATCTTCTATATAAATGTATACGTCCAAAAGTTCCACGTCTACTATAAATAATACCAATTTATAATATATAATTAAGTATAAACCTTATCTCATAAGTCGATTTTGTGAAATTCATTTTCTAACATGTTATCATAGTTCATGAGAGAGGTGTATTGAAAGTCCCATCTGTTTATGAATTAAATGGATCATCCTACATTATATTCAAAACTTGCTACATTTATTTTCTTTTTAATAATTCAAATGTAAATACAATTCATTACTTTCTTATGTCCTTTCTCTTTGATTGATGAAGGCATTTCCAAAAGGTTCAAGTTTAGCAATTGACATATCTCCCGAGCAACCTTAAAGGCCATAGAAAGTGGAGAAGTGCAAAAGCTAGAAGAGAAAATGTTGTCTACAACGAATTGTGGATCTACAAACAACAAAATACAAAATGAACAACTTGGTCCTCAACCTTTCTTTGGCTTGTTTGGCATTTGTGGAAGCATTGCTGTCATAGGTTTATTGGCAACCATTGTTCACTTTGTTAAAAGGAAAGCACAAACATTTATGAATTACCTATTACTGTCACAGTTACAGAGAGGATTGCAGATAATCAAACTTTTTGCTCAAAAGCATCCATACAAGTACAGAAAGACCGCACCTGCCCAAGATGCAAATAGTAGAGAGAATGTATCTCAAAACAATGAGCTTGCTACACCAAGTATTGAGTTACCAATTAACTTCCACACATGACTCATCAACTATGAATTTGGATTCTCTGCTTAGTTTTTTGTGCTTAATAGATACTGAGTTTTAGTGTTTTAAAATATACAGATAAATGATAATCATGACATATTTTTACATTTATTTGACACATAATATAAGGTAAAATAGTCATGTGTAAAGTTTTGTATTTTTGAAAAGAAAAGTGAATAAAAGGTAAATAAGATACTATCAAATCAACGTAAAAAATTTAAATGTGTCAAATAATATTTTTCATATATATAACAGAAGGAGTAGATTCACCTACTTACTTTTATACTGTAATTCTTTAATTCATGTATACTGTGGATATGTATAACTAATTGTACTTCGTTCATTAGTAAGGTGCATTCCCATCACAAAATTTATTAAAAAGTTGAAAAACATTAATTATAAAGTTTTGAAGTGATGCATTACTAAAATGTGGTTGGATGTTGTACGACCATATAATCTCAGTTAGATGTTTAAATCAATAATCAGTATTGCCTTCATTAGCATCCATGAAATCACACCAAAAGCCCAACTTTTAGGAACATATCACCTCAATCCAATTATGTATGACAATGCATATTTGCTTTTAGGTTATTGCTTCCTACACCGTATCAAATTTTTTCAGTAGTTAATTATTTGTATAAATGAATGCAAACCATATCATTTTTATCAGTTTTTAAATTAAGTTAAACTTNACTCTCTGCGCCTGGTCAATGCTGAAATCGATCACCATGTAGCTTTTGCTTCAATGACCCTTCTCTCAAACCCAACCGAGATCATAGAACACGAGCTTACAAGGCTCAAGAGCAAGAGCAATAGGGTGTTCTTGCTTATTCAATCCTCCTTGGAGTTTGCCACTTTGCTTTTTCAGAAGGCAAAGCAAATGGGAATGATGGAAAAAGGGTCAGTGTGGATCATTGCAGATGATGTAGCCAACCACCTTGATTCCCTTGATTCTTCTGTCACTTTCAACATGCAAGGTGTCATGGGGTGCAAAACCAACTTCCTGGAAGTGAGTGAAAGGTTCAAACGTTTCAAGTTCATGTTTAGGAGAAAGTTTGCACTGGAATACCCTGAGGAAGAAAGATTGCATCCGAGTGTCTTTGCTCTCAGGGCTTATGATGCTGTTTGGACCATTGCTAAAGCCTTGGAGAGCTCACAGGGAAACTTTTCCTTATCAGAAAATATTTTGCATAGTGATCACGAGGGCCTTAGTGGGAAGATAAGGTTCAAAGGAAGAATGTTATTGGAATCACCAACCTTTAAGATTGTCAATGTTGTTGGAAAAGGTTATAAAGAGTTAGCATATTGGTCAATGGAGTCTGGTTTGAGTGAGAGCCTTGTTGAGCATGAGGTGGTGAACACAACAACAACTAGTGCTGGTTCTGCTAGATTGCTTTTAAGTTCTGTGGATTGGCCTGGTGGGTTGAAAACAGTTCCAAAAGGTTGGGTGTATAATAGTAGTGAGAGAAAGCCTTTGAAAATTGGGGTTCCCGCTGTCGATCCATGTCCTCAGTTTGTGAATGTGAGCCATGATAAGAGACTGAATGAAACCCAATTCACTGGTTTCTCAATCAATGTCTTTGAATCAGTTGTGCAACGCCTGCCTTATCACCTGCCTTTTGTTTTTGTGCCATTTTATGGCTCTTACGATCAGATAGTTGAACAAGTGAACAATAAGGTAAAAATCATTATCCATGCTGATTAAGATCATCATGATCAGAAAAACTTCTCAATAATTGATATATAATGTTGGTATGATGTGTGTTTCTAATACAGTACCTTGATGCTGCTGTGGGGGATATACAAGTGGTGGAACATAGATATGCATTTGCTGAATTCAGTCATCCATATGTTGAATCTGGCATAGCCATGGTGGTGAAAGTAAAGCCAGATAGATCCAAAGAAACCTGGATGTTCATGGACGCTTTCACAAAAGAAATGTGGATGCTGATGGCAGCAATGCATCTGTTCATAGCATTTGTAATCTGGTTCATTGAAGGTGAAAACAATTCGGAGCTGAAGAGTCTTGGGGCCATTCTCTGGTTTTCTGTCACAACATTGTTCTTCATACACAGTAAGTCTCAGTAATGACACTCTAAACTCCTTTATATATCTCTTACAATTCATCAAATCGCCATTCATTACTTACATTTTTCATTCATCAAAATCCTTAATTTGTGTTAGCATTTAGAATATTGAACTTAATTAGAATAAAGGGAAAGTGTAAGAACTCCTTCATATCCTTTTCTAATAGCTATATATATTCACCATTTTTTGTCTCTCTCTATTATGAATGCTTGTGATATGTAGGAGAACCAGTAAATAGCAACTTGGCCAGAGTAGTGCTAGCACCTTGGTTATTTGCTATTCTAATTGTGACACAAAGTTTTACTGCGAGCCTTTCATCCATGATGACAGTGTCCCATCTTGAACCAGCTGTGCCTGATATACAAACACTGCTGAAGACAAATGCAATCATAGGGTGCAATAAGAACACTTTTTTGGTCCATTACTTAGTTGATGAACTCAAATTCCAGCCACAGAATATCAGGGTCTTTGACTCCATCCATGATTTCCCAAGAGCATTTGAGAACAAAGAAATTGTGGCTTCTTTCACCATTGCCCCTCATGCTGATGTCTTCCTAGCCACCTATTGCAAAGGCTACATCAAAGCAGGACCTACCTTGAAGCTTGGTGGATTAGGCTTTGTGAGTTTCTTTTCTCATCATCTTCTATATAAATGTATACGTCCAAAAGTTCCACGTCTACTATAAATAATACCAATTTATAATATATAATTAAGTATAAACCTTATCTCATAAGTCGATTTTGTGAAATTCATTTTCTAACATGTTATCATAGTTCATGAGAGAGGTGTATTGAAAGTCCCATCTGTTTATGAATTAAATGGATCATCCTACATTATATTCAAAACTTGCTACATTTATTTTCTTTTTAATAATTCAAATGTAAATACAATTCATTACTTTCTTATGTCCTTTCTCTTTGATTGATGAAGGCATTTCCAAAAGGTTCAAGTTTAGCAATTGACATATCTCCCGAGCAACCTTAAAGGCCATAGAAAGTGGAGAAGTGCAAAAGCTAGAAGAGAAAATGTTGTCTACAACGAATTGTGGATCTACAAACAACAAAATACAAAATGAACAACTTGGTCCTCAACCTTTCTTTGGCTTGTTTGGCATTTGTGGAAGCATTGCTGTCATAGGTTTATTGGCAACCATTGTTCACTTTGTTAAAAGGAAAGCACAAACATTTATGAATTACCTATTACTGTCACAGTTACAGAGAGGATTGCAGATAATCAAACTTTTTGCTCAAAAGCATCCATACAAGTACAGAAAGACCGCACCTGCCCAAGATGCAAATAGTAGAGAGAATGTATCTCAAAACAATGAGCTAGCTACACCAAGTATTGAGTTACCAATTAACTTCCACACATGACTCATCAACTATGAATTTGGATTCTCTGCTTAGTTTTTTGTGCTTAATAGATACTGAGTTTTAGTGTTTTAAAATATACAGATAAATGATAATCATGACATATTTTTACATTTATTTGACACATAATATAAGGTAAAATAGTCATGTGTAAAGTTTTGTATTTTTGAAAAGAAAAGTGAATAAAAGGTAAATAAGATACTATCAAATCAACGTAAAAAATTTAAATGTGTCAAATAATATTTTTCATATATATAACAGAAGGAGTAGATTCACCTACTTACTTTTATACTGTAATTCTTTAATTCATGTATACTGTGGATATGTATAACTAATTGTACTTCGTTCATTAGTAAGGTGCATTCCCATCACAAAATTTATTAAAAAGTTGAAAAACATTAATTATAAAGTTTTGAAGTGATGCATTACTAAAATGTGGTTGGATGTTGTACGACCATATAATCTCAGTTAGATGTTTAAATCAATAATCAGTATTGCCTTCATTAGCATCCATGAAATCACACCAAAAGCCCAACTTTTAGGAACATATCACCTCAATCCAATTATGTATGACAATGCATATTTGCTTTTAGGTTATTGCTTCCTACACCGTATCAAATTTTTTCAGTAGTTAATTATTTGTATAAATGAATGCAAACCATATCATTTTTATCAGTTTTTAAATTAAGTTAAACTTAAAATTTATTATCAGAATTATAATTTAGAATGATTTTAATAAAATATATTATTTATTAAACATATTATTTTCCTCGTTATTTGAACATATCCATTAATATTATGTTCCATTCCTAAATTAACTATAATAAAATTGGGTCATGCTTTTTTGGTGGCCCATGTAACGTTTTTATGACTGAATGGTAAGCATGAGTTGTTGAATTAAAACGTTGAACATGTCCAAAAAAGCTTGAATATCGATGTATGACTAATAACTATTGAGATAGCGACTATGTATACAAATTAACTTAAAATATTAAAGAGGGTTGAATAATTACTCAATTTTGTTTACATTTTCAACTTATTAATTTTCTATGGCATATTATTTTACCATTAAAAAAAGCTAAAATGAGAAGAAAATAAAATTATTAGTAAATAGTAAGGGGAGGGTCCTTGTGAAGATTTGAAGAAAAGAAAAGAAGGGCTTGGAATGGGTTAGGGTCCATCTAAAGGGTGGTGCAATGAATGCGTGAAATTCACGCAAACTTTCAAGAAGGTGAATCTCTTCTTTACGTTCTTTCTATTCTATTCCATTCCATTTCATATGCATATGGATCTCCGCCGACAATAGCGTTCTTTTTTTTTTCTCTCTCCCAAAGTCAAAATCAGACTGTATAGTAATCATGGATGCACAATGCTTCCAAAAGATTCCAAAAGCTTACTTATATAAAATATATAACTATTTTTTTTAATTTTATTTAATATACGATCAAATAATAACAGTCCATTCATTAAATTCCGCAACATTTTGCTAAATTAAAATAAAAAAGAAAAGAAAAAGGGAAGAAGACGTGGAGAAGCGACAACTCATAGTTATAAGACAGCTTGCTACAGCTTAGAAGCATTTTTGCAAGTACTAGTTCATTTCATTGCCCACTCACACCAACAACACAAGCTACAGCACCGGCACTAGCATCCACCATAACCGTTGACGCGTGCGTGCATATTCTTCCTTGCTCCGCACGTCACATCGCTCGAGCGCGGCGTCGCAGATCTCGTGATCGCCGATCCGAATGGACGGTTACGACGGAACCGTGAGGCTCGGCGCCATTAACCTCAGGCACGATCGCGCTGATTTGGACTCCGGCCCCGACGTTTCCGTCTCCTCGCCGGTCACGCGGCAGAAAGCCGCCGCCGCCAAGCAGTTCATCGAGAATCATTACAAGAACTATCTCCAAGGATTGCAGGATCGCAAAGACAGGTTCTACTACTATTACTACGCTACCTACGTCACCTAACTCGCTCACCTACCTATTCATTCCTCATTCACTACTATATTATATTTCTTTCTCTACTGCTTCATTTAATAATTCTGCACTGTCAGGATCGATTTCTCGTATTCGAATGTCCTTCACCGACAACGTTGTATGAGAGCTTTTTTTCGTTCTAATACTCTGTTTTTAGAGTAGAGTCTCGTATCTCGTATCACAGGAATTCACATGTTTATACACACACGCATCATTTAATAGTTTTAACGTTGAATTGAATTTTCACAGATTTGGTCGAATATTTCTTGTTGAGTAGGAGAGTAAGTTTATGTTAATGATGATACTTTATTATAGTACTACTATATTATTGTTAAAACCTTAAAAGTTAAGTTGATGTTGATCATTGTGATATTATTACTATGTATGTCTAATGATCTATCTAGAGTTTGGTATACATGATTACTACTAGTAAAGGTAATATGAGATGATTTGAATTGATCATGGTTTAAGTGGATACCTAATTGGATACTTTATGCATTTATGTTGTTTCTGTTTCAGACGCAGGGCGCTGCAGAGGAAAGTGCAAGAATCTCAGATACCGGTTGAGGAGAAGGAGGAAATGATGAGGAACTTGGAGCGCCGAGAAACTGAGTTCATGAGGATTCAGAGACGTAAAATTGGAATTGACGATTTCGAGCAATTGACGGTGATTGGGAAAGGTGCTTTTGGTGAGGTATGCAAAATATAATCTGCATAAACATTTGGTTCCTTCTGAAGGTGTGGTCACTGATACCTTTGAGAAAATATAGGTGAGGTTATGTCGTGCTAAAAGTACGGGAGAGATTTTTGCCATGAAGAAATTGAAGAAGTCAGAGATGCTTAGTCGCGGACAGGTACCCGTTAGCCAGACTTAGATGCATTGATTGATCTTGATAATTATACAAGTTATTGCATGAAACAAGCAAAATTCACAATCAAGGTTTTGGAAAATGGTCTGTCACTTTGGTTTCAACTGTTAGGACAAGGGGACTCTTTCTGAGAGCAATTGTGGCCATATTGTCAACATTTGTTTGCAATTTCTTGCCATGTTAGGGATCGCAACTGCAATTTAGAAAGCCTTGTTCGAATTTCACAATTCATTGGCGTTTTCCTCCATTTAATTGATTACATCAATTTTTTACCAATTAAACTGATTTTGTGTATGATGGTTTGACTCTGGTAAAATTAGAATTTGAACACATTAAGTGACCTAGCTTGCATCATAGCAGCACTTATTTGTAATTTAGTTACTACAATATGAATTCTTTTATTTTATTTAATTTTTGGAATGGTTAACCTGTTTAGTTGGTAGGCAGAATTATTTGAACTTCATGTCTAGTGAAAAACAAAGTGGTGGTCAGATGTATCCACTTGACTGTCTCATTTTCCTTGGTTGAGAAGGCATTTTACAATGAAAACAACTTGCTTCTTCCGTATACCTTCCTGCTGTTTCCAGAAGCTTGTTACGCTTGTCATAATAGGGGGAAAATGGAATAAAAACATCCATTTTCTTTGAGCTTAGGGTTCAATTATGATTAAAAGTTCCAGTACAAGTAGACAAGAATCTTTAGGAGTTATTCTGACATTTGGCTCAATTTGTGTGCTTCTCTTGATATCATGATATTAATCTAATTTAGGTGGAACATGTTCGATCCGAGAGAAACTTGCTGGCAGAGGTTGATAGCAGATGCATAGTAAAACTCCATTATTCATTCCAAGATTCGGATTTCCTTTATCTCATCATGGAATATTTACCTGGTGGTGACATTATGACATTGTTAATGAGAGAAGATATTCTTTCTGAAGACGTTGCTCGCTTCTACATCGCTGAAAGCATTCTTGCTATTAACTCGATACATCAACACAACTATGTACATAGGTATGTTGCTATTATCACATGGTTCAGTTATTGCTCTATTGGCAGCCGATAGTATCCTCACCTAGTGGCATAAGGCTTTTGTTGGTGTTGTTGGCAGTTGATCTTGTAGCCTATGTATGCACAAGAGGCTTCAAGCAGTGGGGCCAAGAACACTTATATGGTTCAACATGGCTCATTGCTTGGTCTAACAAAGATATAACACACTGTCTGGTCTGAAATCATCAAAAAACAGTATTTTTAGTTGCATGCAACTTACTGCTCTTTACAAGGATGTGATGCAATTTATATTTATCTTTTCAGATCGCAAAAGACTATATTCAGTTGTAGTCCACTTTCATGCTATTGTGAATGATGAATATAAAACTATGGTACAGTGGATTGATTTGTCACTAATGTTAAGAAAATCTTGAGGTGATAAAAATATATAATGTTTCTGTAGAAGGATTTCAAATTTTCTGATTAAATAAATTTTCTCTAGTAAGATAAATAAATATAGTTATACTCAGTTCAAGATATTCTACTTGTGTAGGGATATTAAACCAGATAACCTGATACTGGACAAAAATGGTCATTTGAAGCTTTCGGACTTTGGCTTATGTAAGCCTCTTGACGATAAGTATTCAACAATTTTATTGGAAAATGAAGATCTTACCAGTCAAGAATCAACCAGTGAAACTGAAGGATATTCTGCTTCTCCTTGGTTGATGCCAAAGGAGCAATTACAGCAGTGGAAACGTAATCGACGTGCATTGGTATGCCGCTACCCCATTTCACGTTCCTTAGTGGGTATTAACTATTTGTTGGCATAATAGACAAATAGTAAAAAATGTATGAAGTAATGATTATGTGTGTTGGATCAGTTTATTTGTGATCAAATCAGTTTATAATCAAAATATTTCTGGGAGCAATTAAAAAAGGAAACAACCAATTAAAAAATGCTCTAGATTAATATTTCATATTTATTATGTCACTAACTTCTCTGAGGTGTAATATTAAGTGGTAGTTTTGTTTGATATATGAAATCTGTTAATTCTTATGAACTTGTACACCTGTCAGGCGTACTCAACTGTTGGAACTCTTGATTATATGGCACCTGAAGTTTTGCTCAAGAAGGGCTATGGAATAGAATGTGATTGGTGGTCTCTTGGGGCAATTATGTATGAGATGCTTATTGGGTATCCTCCATTTTGTTCTGATGATCCAAGGATGGCCTGCCGAAAGGTATTATGATTGATTGATTCTCTTATTTTCTTCATATCCAAAATTTTTTCATAATGACCCAGCGGTTCTGTATTGTGCCAGATTGTTAACTGGAAAACATGCCTGAAATTCCCAGAAGAACCTAAGATATCAGTAGAAGCAAAGGATTTGATCTTTCGCTTACTATGTGATGTGGACTCAAGACTAGGAACAAGAGGAGTAGAAGAAATAAAGGTGACAACTCTTATTGGTAGCCCGTGTTTTTTGACAATTCCTTCAAATACTGGAATAAACCTTATTTCTAACTTGGTTCTCCAGTCTCAGGCTATGTATTCTGGGAATGATTCAACGTTGTGCTTTGAAAATACCTGTCACTGTTATGCCCTGATAATCTGCATAAGTCCTCTCTTAACAAATCTGCACTTGATTTTTCAGGCTCATCCATGGTTCAAGGGTGTTCAGTGGGACATGCTTTATGAATTAGAGGCTGCTTATAAACCTACAGTCACTGGGGATTTAGATACTCAAAACTTTGAGAAGTTTCCTGAAGTAAGTATATATTACATAAAAGTTTATGCATTGAGAATGAGTGAAATTTATTCATAAACAATAATTTCTTGTAGGGTCCAAAATTATTTAATTACCAAAGATTCGATGAGTTTAAATGAAACATCATAATGCATGTGCAAGATAGTATCTCTTAGAAAGTGGATTTAGGCCTAATTCAACTCTACAAAATGGCTTGTAAGACAAATTTTGCACTTATATACTATAATTTGATCATATTTTTAGTTTATATGGGATCTCTAACACAAACCCTCATGTTGAGGCCTGAACATCTCAAGCATGATACTAAATATTTGTAGGTGGTGATAGTGACTCATAAGTCCAACAAGTCTGATCAGGATATGCTATAATACCATCTTAGATAGTGGATTTAGGTCTAATTCGATTCTACAAAATCAGCTTCTAAGATAGGTTTGCACCTATATATGTAGTATCATTTGATAATTTGACAAAATCTGTAGTCAATGGGAATATCCAATAGTATCCTTAATGATTTAATTATGAGCTCTCTCAATTTCTCATCATAAAGAAAAGCTATTCTTCTTTCTTCTGTTTATACCTTCTAAACAAGGGTTCTTGCCTGGACAAAGAGGTCTGCTATACCTAATGCCCAACATGAAATTCACATTTTTTTGGAAGGCTTGGTTTTATAGGGAACAAGCATACAACCCAACTGTCTCTTTCTATATAAATAGTTTAATATCGATATAAATTGCCGCCAGTGACAGTTGTAGACGGATTATTTAAAGTGGTGTTGTAAGAATTGACATGTTTTTAAAGTAACAAAATATATGCTGGCTATATAGTATTTAGTATTTTATTGAGAATTGTTTCCCTAATCTTTTAATAATTGTGGTTTTCCAAGATTGTTATTTGGCCGTCACACCTTCTGATTTTGTTATCATTTACAATGAGTCAATGATAGAGTAATTTTCAAATTTGAGCCGTAGAGGCTATTTATGTCTTCTGTTTTTTATACTTTCTAAAGTCGAATGACTCTAAAACACACCTAAACTAGTGATTTAAATCATTGACAGGTAGATGGCCCACCATCCGTAACAGCAACTGTTGGACCTTGGCGGAAGGTAATTTGTTTTCTTAAGCTTGTAATTTATCAAGTTTGTTAGCAAGAGCTTACGTGCTTCGTGCCAAACATAGGTATGTCATGTGTAAGAAAAATGCAAACATAAAAAAAAAAAACTTCATTTCGTTGCACCATATCTTTAACTAATAACATTGATTGATTTCTTTTTTTGACTATGTCTGTGTCCTATTATATTTATAGATTCATAGGTTAGTGCACCACTTGTTTTGGGTTTGGAGGCAAAAATTTGTTTTAGTGTTATTTTGGTTATGAGGAGTGTATACTCTGCTGGTTAAGTAAACTATGAAGTTTTATTCAAACAAAGTAAGGTCTCTGTTGAGTTAATGAAATATTTTAGTTTATTGTCTAGATTTTTTCTCTTGAAACTCGGCTTCAACGGTTTTTCAGATGTAGCATTGCTGCTGTTTTCTTTAACTTTTCCATTGTAATTAGCGCATATGTTTTCAGATGCTAGGTGAACGTGCAAAGATAAAGAAAAAACTTCTTTTTGTTTGAACAATATCTGTTGTCTTATGAATTTTCCAGCTTCTTTGATAAGTAATTTACTATTTATTTAAAATTGAAATGCTTATGGTATTTTGTTTTGTTTATGATGCTCTTGCAGATGCTGACATCCAAAGATAACAATTTCATTGGATATACTTTTAAGAAGTCAGACATTCTTACATCTCTTGAAAGTTCAGGTATGCAACTTATGGCAATTCATCCTCTTAGTGACTGCCTGGATTTAAACTTCTATGAAGTAAGAAAGCTGGTACAGTTCATGCTGAAATCCTAGGGTGAAACTTGAAAACATTTACATTATTTTTATGGTTAAGAGACAACGTTTTTAGATGATGATTTAAGAATGATGACGTCTAAGAGCATGTTTGGGGAAGATATTTTTTTATGTTTTCAGCTGTTCTAGGATTTCTTTTGTATGTTTAGATAATAACTGAGATTTGTAAAAAAAAAAATTGTTTCTTTTAGGAATCTGATAATTCATAATTTATGATGAGTTTTGAACAATTTTTTCCCTTTTGAGTTTCATGATCCTTTTTCTTATGATTTGATTTATTTTGTTTCAATCAACCTAAATTAATTATGGTACAGCTACTTTTCATCAAACTTGTCCTAAAAAGGAAGAGTACAATCTATTATAATAATAAATTATGTCAATAATTTATTTTTCCTAATTACACGCCCGAAATCTACTTGATACTACGATAAAATCTGAGGAAGTAAATGACATTAATTTAGGCAAAGAAATATATTTTCCTATCTAGATAAACTTCGCCATTCAAAAGCATGAGATGAAATGGAATAATGATCCTCCATATCCATTTGTAGGCATACCCGAAGAAGATACTCCTAAAATAAACACCTTGGGATGACCAAGAACATGACAAATACTTTCTGACTAAAATCTGTCTTTTACAAGCATTCAAACATTAATCCTCAGATTTTACATAATATTCTGCAGATGTAGATATCAGAGAAAAGGGATCATCAAAAGCCCCTTCATTGATTACCTTGTTAGGTATGAATTCTTAATGCACATATGCAATGTATTGTTTACCTTGTTAGGTATGAATAGCTATTCTTAATGCGCATATGCAAGACATGCACGCATTTCTTTGGGCCCTTGGAGAATAAATATTCTTTGACAGATCAAGACTGCAGTATTTGTGTAGCTTTGGTTTTTTCCAGTCTGACCAATATTGACTGGTAGTTATAATCTGGTATATAAGGCTCGTCTCTCACAGCTGATGGAACAATGTGCTGTGGTTATGCAGGTCGGATTGATTTGCAAGATACTGTCATACCAGAATCTGACCAGAAGCCAGAAGCTTGAATCAAACTAACTTGTTTTACTTTTATTGGAACTTGTATTCTATTCTTTATGCTTGGCGTTTGAAGGTTGTAGATGTCTGAATATTAGCAAGCAGGTTCATAATTCAATTATAGGGATCTGGATGATGGAGTAAGGTCATCATGGATCATGGCGGGGTTAATACCATGAGGCTCAGTTATACCGCACAAACATGATATTATCCTTGACATGAAGTCAGACCGTTGCTATACAACTCCTTTCCAGTTTCCTGAAATCCAAGCATTTAAGGTGTTGTTAAGTAATGAAAATTTTGTGTCTATTATTTTATTTTTTCTCTTTGTATACAAATATTTTGATCGAGTTTTTTTGCTACCAATATTGTGTTTAGTATATATAGATTGCCATACCCTTGACTTTATACATTCAACTGGAACTCATAATGTTATAAGTTTGGAGCAAAGTGCAACATCAACACCTTGACTAACTCATTAGTTTCAGAAAAGAAAAGGAAAACCAAATTCTAGGAGTGTCAAAAACCTGTTTGAGCACATGGCTACGTCAAATAGCAGCACCGTAAGTGATGTGAATATAGTTTTTAACACTTCGATTCAAAATTGCCGACCAAAACATATGATTTCACCCTCACAAGTTTTTAAAGTTACCTTTTTTTAACTAAATTTCTAAATTCTAAAATTCTAAAATTCTAAAATTCTAAAATTCTAAAATTCTAAAATTCTAAAATTCTAAAATTCTAAAATTCTAAAATTCTAAAATTCTAAAATTCTAAAATTCTAAAATTCTAAAATTCTAAAATTCTAAAATTCTAAAATTCTAAAATTCTAAAATTCTAAAATTCTAAAATTCTAAAATTCTAAAATTCTAAAATTCTAAAATCATTTCTTGCCTTAAATCTGTCCTAAAATCGTAATATTTGGTTTCTGGATAAAAGAAAATTGGTAAAACTTTCAGTAACTTAAAAATTAGAAAATCAATTTTAAGAGAAAGTTGAGAGATTAAATTCATATATTGACTGTTCCAGATGATTAATATGTTATTAGTAATATTAATAAGTAGCCATTCTCTAATATTATTAATAGTATTATTCAGTAGCTATTCTCTAATATAGGGGTATTTAGAACTTTGTGCACGTTTTTTTTTACTTTGTGAAAGTTTTTTTGTTGTTGACAGAAGTACTTTGAAAAGTTATTCTTATTAAAGTGTTTGAAAAGTTAAACCTAAAATATTCTGATATTTTCTTTGTTTTATTAATTTCTTGATATTTTTTATGTTTGAGAGTGCTATTTTTACATTATTTTCATTCGTACAAGCCATGAATAGATACATCGACTTTTTTTCTATGAAAATGTTGTTATCATAAAATTAAATTACTTTCATTTCTCATGTTATATGATTTAAATTAAATAGATTCTTGTCATTATAGGTTTATTTTTTGGAAGTATACCATTGAATTTATTTTCTTAACTCTTATATAGGTTTACTCTTTTAAAAATTACAAATAATAAGGTTAAGTTGTGTTAAGCTGGCACGACTTCGTTTTGAAGAAGTCGTGTTTAGTAGAGGTGATTTGTTCGAAAATTAATCAAGAATAAAGTCATACTTGAGGGTGGTGACTTTTAGGATTTTAGTTTATTGTGTATGATAAAGAAATCATTTAACTGGATGAAGACTTTAATGTTTTTTTTTTTAAGGTTTCACACGACTTTAATATTAAAATATTATATAATGAAAGAAAGAAAGAAATACTCCAATTAATAATAATAAGAGTGAAAGAATATATTTATTTTTAATTATTTTAGCTATGTATTTGCAAAATATTTTATGTCTCATAATACTAAACTAATGATGTCACGCCTCATTAATTACCCTGCTGCGTCACCTGTTGGCTCTCTTAAATGCACCACGCCACTTGCTCAGAGACATTAAAAATGCACTAAAACTCTGATATCATGAGCTGCCAAGTGTCAAAATGGAACATTTGAAGTCAGTAAGTGAGGGCAGGTGTCAGCAGAAGGGCGCACGTCCGTTTTTGGGGCGTGGGCAAACAGAAAAAAATCATTTCTGAAAAACTCTGCTCATTCTTCTGCACACTTCTTCTTCTTCTTCCTAACTTCAGATCTCCATTTTCTCCACCTTCTCTCTAGAAAACCTTTCACTTCTCTCTACTGCAACTCACCATCCTCTGCTCCGATTACTATTTAGGCACCGTAGAAGGATCCCCGTTGCCTTGAGCTTTCACCAGAACCGAACACTTTAGCGTTCTGAAACCGGTAAGTCCGTTTCCCTTCAAACTGTCGTTCTTGTGCGCATGCACGCCCAAACTCTGGGTGATGAAATTCTTTAGTTAAATACTGAACCGTTTTCATCTATCTTTGATGATTGATTCATATAGTAGTAAGCGTTGCGGAGAGAAGGAAATTGTAAATTTACAAGTCAAGTTACACATTGTAGGATGTCTGTTCACGTTAGAGGTAAGAGAAGCTTATTTGATTTAATTCATATGTTTTGGTTGTTATGAACGTTCGCTGTTTGCTGGATTGAATGTGATTTATGATGATTAATCTGCATGATGATGTTGGATATGTATCAATGTGAAAGTATGTAAATGGATATTGAATGTGAAGTATAAAGTATGAACTGATGTATGGTAAATATGAGATGAACTACAGTATGATTATTGGGAAGTATGAAATGTATATGCTGAAAAAATGAGTTTACTGTAAGTGAGATTTTGAATATGAAATTCCTATGATATTGAACGTTCGTTATCGAAACGGTCTTTGACCGTTCGATATTCTCAGTAACTTCTTTGAAATAGCTGAACCCTTTCATTTGGAAAGGATTCTATTTGAGGACGAACGCCCTCTTATATTAGTCTTACGTTTGAGCTTTCGGCCAAACGTAGATATCCTGAGTGTTGTGTGAGAATTTGAGAAGCTTGAAATTTTACATTTGGACACTTAACCATTTTGTTAAAATCATGAATGTAAACATCTCATCTTATATAAATTCCATGTTTTATGATTTTGAATCAGCGATGGGTCTCGACCCAAAGCGTACGTCCTAAGTGGCGCTCGGTCTTATACCGAACGCTCGTCTCAATGCGTATGTTATAAAGGAACGCTCAGTCCTATACCGAACGTTCGTTCTTCCCGTAATTTCCAACGAGCTGAAATAGCGTTCGTCCTAAAACTTAATTAGCGTTCGTCCTAAATTTCAGTAAATTCACGTACCGCGTTCGGTCATTTACTGGTAGTCGGTTTATTCTAACTAAATTGTACTTAGTACATTTAGTACTCGTCTTCGGTATCTTCGTTCAATTGAATTGACTCTGAAATCTTGGCAATTAAATTATTCTAAGTATAAGTTGAATTGTTCTAGAGTCAGTTCATTTAACTGATTCGAATTGTAATGACATTCGTCATGAAAGATGGGCCAGCTTTATCCCTTCGGCAAAGAAGTTCTTTCAGTCTCACTCTCGACGTTCGTCCTCGTTATGAAGAGGATTGAACGCTCGTCTTTTTATGGAAGTGGAACAAAGAATGAAAATGTTAATAAAAGGATGTATTATGATGTGCGAACAGTTCAAGAGATGAAATTATGTTTGTGGATTTTGAACGAGCGTTCCAGGGAGGAACGACTCTTGGATGAAAGTTGGAAATTTGTAAAGTATGAATGTGGTAAGCTTAGCTGGCGGGTCATCCTGATATTCCGTGAGTGCTCGTTCTCAAGTAGAGAGGAGTATGTCATGTGTGGGAATGGCAGGAGGTCTTAGTCCATAACTGTAACTTGGACAGAACGGACTAACCTCAGGTGGCAGCTGACGAGTATTCCAGTTATCCCACCTGGGTGCACGGACGTCGTAGCTACACAGAATTCATACAGTCCGGACAGTCAGTCTAGTACCAGGAATTTGATTGAATTAACGAATGAATTGAATGTATGTGTTGTGAATTAATTGATGTATTTGATATGTATGAAATGTATGCTTTACTTGAATTAAATTCAATAAGCTTACCCTTTCGTTTTTCCATTGTGTTGTCCGTATCTGTACGTCCGTCTTGTCAATGCAATGATCATCCGTGTGGATGTGAGCAGAGGGAGATGCATCCCTCTGGAGGAAACGCTTGAAGAGGAAATCATTGCTGAAGATAATTTGGTAGATGTTGAAGTGAAGGTCGAACAATAGTACGTTCGGTTATTTGCTAGTTTAGTTATAATAGCGGGCCATTCTAAAGCGTGCGCCTTTTTACTTTAAGTAAATATTTGGACGTTCGATATTTTTATTTTGTAAACCGTTCGTTCTTAAATTTTAGTGAACGCTCGTACGTTTATTGGTATTTAAGTGAGGCCGTTCGGCCATATGCGAACCTTATCTCTTTAAGTGTAAAACTGTTTTGTTATATTAATACATGTAAATATTCTATTATATAGTTGCTGACTGTATAATTTTGGGATGTTACATACACAGTTTATTAAATTGATTTTTAAATATGGTTTTTGATGAGTATAGTTAATTTTTATAGTTTCTCTTTATATTAATTTACGAGTTTGATTTAAATGAAATATATGTTAAGTTTGAATAATTAAAATTGAATTGAGATGGATGAAGAATGATATTTGAATAAATTTTATATTGTATTAATAATTTTGAATGTGGTTGATAGTTTTATAAGTTAAACTGATTTTTGAAAAAAAATTGAAAATAGTTATATTCTTATGCATGAGGTTAATTTTATGACCATGTTTTTCAAGCAAAATATTTCGCTGAAAAAAACAATATAAAAGAGACCCTGCACACTCAAATAAAAATAAAGATATAAATCAATCTTTACCTACCATGTTTTGTGAAAACACATGTGATAATAAAAAATAATAAAATTATTATTATTATTATTATAAAATTAAATATAATTAATTTTTATAATCTGATTGTAAATAGTTTTTTTAGAAAAAGTAAAATTAAAAAGTGAATATGAGCATCAAAAACAAAATTCTTCTCTATATATTGATATAAAAAATAATAATTTTTTTATTGTTATTATAAAATTAAATATACATTATTTTTATAATTTTATTATAAATAATTTTTATTGAAAATGATTTTTACTTATAAAGTAAAATTAGAAAATTAATGTAGATAAAAAAGAAGAATTATTTTTATGTATAGATATAAATAAAATATTTTGCATTATTTATTTAAGGGTTAAATATGTTTTTAGTCCCTAAACTATTGGCCGTTTCTGGTTTTCGTCCCTCTTTCAAAATAAGGTACAATTTGGTCCTCATTCTTTTCGAAACTCTAGTTTTAGTCCTCAAAACTTTGGTTTTAGTCCTCAAAAACTAACCTC